CTGGATTAAGATAACTATCTTCGGCATTCTGTGGGTAATAATGGGATGTGCTGTGGGATACATGCGGCAGGGGATGGACGACACGCGTACTACCGGCCCTTCATGGGACCCTGCCGGTACTACGCCTTTTCGCGAATACGTTCGCGAAGTACATGCATGGATAAACGTAACGAGCGGCAATATGACACCACCACAACAAGCTGCAGCACTACAACGAGGCCTTCAAGGTCTTGCTCGTCGTATCGCCATGCAGGTCCCCTCCCAGATCATCAACTATGGTGTAACTGTCAATGGACAGCCAACGGATGCAGTCACATATATACTGTACCTACTGAGCACCAAATTTGAAAATCTGGAAGATGAGCGCCAGCTCAACTCTGGCACTGCCCTTATCGACTTTCGCGTCGAAAGGGGCGAGCGAATCGACTCAGTGTTAGCTCGATTCGAGATGGCCCGTGACGAGGCTAACTCTGTTGGCTTTGTCATCCCCAACTTTCAGATCCTAACGCTGATTCTTTTCAGAGCGTTAGGCGTTGGCGCGTCGCGAGCCCAACACCTGCTGGAGCCTTTTAATCATCAGATGCCCCGAACACGAGCAGACTATGACAGGCTGCTGACCAGGATGAGGAACTACGGACATGTTGCCGAGCGCTCTCCTGGCAACATTGCGGGTATCTTCGCAGGGCACCATTCACATGCAGGTGTCTACGCCACGACTGCGGGGTCACCCGCTGGTCCTGGCGAGCCAAGTCCCTGGGCTGACCCAGCCGATATGCCCAACGAGGCCACTGCCTTCTTAGGGCAGACCGGCCAGGCATCGGCAGAGGCAGCTGAGGCGAACGCCTGGTCGAACTATTCGCCAGGCGCCGCCTGCACTGCAAGCCCGCCCTCGGGCACAACCCTCTGGGGCCAAGCGGAGTCATCCGCTCAAGGGTCTCAGCCACCCTCACCGTTTGAATCTGGCACTGACACAGATACCTCATCTGACGATGAGCACAATGGCATAGTCTCTGCTGGTAATGACTATCCAGCGGATGACACTCACCTTTCTGAACAACAAAGAGCGGAAGCCGCTTTTATGGCTTATCGCAAATCAAAACGCCGTTGGAGGCGCTTTATGAAGAAACCAGTCAGAAAAGTGAGACGTGCAGTACGCCGACATTTCAAACGATTTGGAAAGGGTCGTGGCAAAGGGGGTCGCAGACGCCGTATGCATGGTAGGGGTATTACTGCTTTCCTCACGTCCTTAACTGATATAGTCTTTGAAGAAGTTCTTATCGGAGGCAAAGGTCGGGGTCGCAGGCGGACCTCCGGTAAGGGAAAAGGGCGGAGGGGCAACCCTAGGGGCGCTTCTGGCAATGCTATGAAGTGTCATACATGCGGTAGCACAGAGCACTTGCGCGATCAATGTCCGAAGGGGAAAGGAAAGGGATCCGTACATTTGGCTCAAAATTCTTTTATGGATGACATAGACTACATTGACTACGAGTTTTACGTCAATCCAGAAGCGGCTCCCGCTGCGGGCTCCTCCACGTACTACGTGATGGCCCGCTACGCTGAAGTGGCCGTAGCCCTGGAAGACTACGCAGTGACCCTCTTCGACGAGTTCCACGGCTGGGACGAAGTCGACGAGGTCGCGTTCAATGCTTGGTTCGGTCTTCCAGCGGGGCCACCCGCCGACGACGAGATCTCCGAAGCTGAGACCGTCCCGGCGACCGAGGAAGAGCTCACCGCCGCGCTGGCGCCGCAGGTGATTGGCATGCCGTTGCTGCCAGATCTTTCGCGAGCTGGCTCGGAGGCGGGAGACGCTGATGACGAAATGCGGGGCCGTCCCGCGTATTCTGACTCCGAAGAGGCCGAAGAGGACTATAAGGACATGCTCCAAGAGCAGGTCGCAGAAGCAATCCGGCTCCTGAGTGCGCCAGCACATCAGCAGATAACCATGAACGACCTGCTGTCGCGCCCAGGGGCCGCACGGCTGCGTCCATACCTGGATTCGGACATGTCGGCACCTCAGATGCTGACAGCACTCCAGGCTCTAGCGGGGTCACCCGCCGAAGTGACGCCAGCCGCAGCAGCGGGGCCACCCGCTTGGTCTATGGATGTATTTATGCAGGGCTGCGACCAGATGGACCTCAACGACCTCACGATGGAGCAGTTAAACGACATCGGGTACTTCCGAAGCCCGTATCAACACGTATTCATGGTCCAGGACAGCTCAGAGGACTCGGAGGACATGCGCTACGCCAAGAGGGACAGACGACCATCGCCTCCCCGAGACTCAGAGCATGACGATCAAAGGCCAATGGAACGTGGTAGTGCGTCAGCGGGGCCAGCCCGCAGGAGGAGCCGTTCAGCTCCCAGACGCCCTACACATGATGCATCGGGCTACCCGTACAGTACTGAGCACTCCGTTGGTGTATCCGCTCAGTACGTGCCGGAGTGGTACATCAATTGGTACCCCGGCTACTCGATGGACGTGATCCGCCACTGGTATTCT